AACACCATGTATTGTGCCACTGAAAGTTATTATGCCTGTTCTAATATGCATACACTGCCTAATATAAGCATTAGTTTAATGTGTTTTATAGTGAAAGAAGGATTTGTGTCTTTTGCTTAATTTTAAAATTTTGTAATTATGTCAATTATGTGTCCTTTATTTCAATGCCAGAATGTTCAAATAACTATACTTTTTTTTTTTTTTTTGCCATTTTAGAGACATTGTTCCAACTATTAAATCAGATGTTAAGATTAACTATGCAGCACTTAAATAGCCTTTCTATAGAAAGGCTATTTTAACTCTTTCTTCAGTGACATCTTAGATTGATACTTTTTACTTGAGTAAAAATGTGCTAAAGTAATGCTGCTGTTACCTGAGTGTAATTTGTGGGAATTCTACCCAACTATTCACTATATCCAATGCTTCTGGCTGAATGAAAAGATACAATGTTTGATGTTGGACCTTGTGAAGAAAGATATCTTTTTCATATTTTGATTTTTAGTATTTTTAATGAGCTCCAGGCAGATTGATACAAAAGTTACTCTGGGACACAACAACCATTGTACTTACAAAACTAGGTAACAGATTTCAAACGGTAACAGTTTTGCTTGAGTTTGGTGTCTGGGCTGTGATGTCATCATTATATGGCCGCTCAGCATGTCATGGAGTGATGAACTCACCTCTACCCTCCTGCGCATGACTACCGCATGTCAGGACGTGAGTAGAGGATCTCTGACCTCAGAACCCAAAGGAGGGTGGTGAGGAGGCAGAGGGTCTGAAGAGAAGTAGATAGAATCTGGTTGGCAGTACCAAGCAGGAAGCAATGCGTGAAATGCAAAGTGAAGCAGGATGCTTTGCAGCTTAAAAAGACTGCCCAAAGTTCATGCTTGATGTATCCTGCAGCGTACTAAATATCACCCGTAAATCAGAAGCACTGCTTGAGCTGACTGTCAGAATTAGTTCACACATGTTTTCATTAATTGAGAATCACATGGATCATTGAATTATTTTATTACATTTACTCCCTAAAATAATGTTAACTTATTAGTAATCAATTAGGTAGATTTAAATTACTAGGCAAAGAAACAGTACATAAACAAACATACATTCCAATTAACCAAAGAAAAATTCTTTGTGAGGTTGAACATTAATATTCAGATTATACTGATTAAAGATTTAACTTTATCAAGTTTTCACACGTAATTTGGATTTTAAATATTTGTCTTAACTTTAGGGAGACTTTAGGAAGAAATCAAGAATTCAAGCAAGAAAGGTCTTTTGGTTCGTCCCTTTTCGATCCTAGAAAACACTCTCAACCATATTACAGGACCCTTAAAAGCTTTAACAGTAAAACCAAACCATTACGTTTTATGATTGCATATCAGAAAATGTAACATAACATATGACAAAAGTTTACGTTTTATGGCTATCCAAACAAGTTCACTCTGAATGCAGACTGCAAGATTCTGAAAGAAGTCTCCGCAAACTGTAAGCTGTCAACAAATAATCCATAGCAGGCACTTGCTACTGTGGATAGAAAAACAAAGAGATGCTCAGACGTAGCCTTCTTTAGAAATTCTCAAACATAGACAGACCAAGTTTTCTACAGGTTAGTACAAAGTGTATATAGGACACATAAGACATAAACTAAATGCTAAAAACAGAAAAATACACACACCAAGAGTATGAAGCAAGAGGTGTCATGATTTGGAAATGTTTTAACTAATCATTAATTTTATGTGGCTTGAAGAAAATAAAAGAGTACCTGTGTAATAAAAAAAAAAAAAAAAAAAAGTGAAACAAAACCAACACCCTTAGCATTTAAAAGGCCCAAAAATAAT